TATTGCTATAAAGCGACGTGTGTACGCGTAATTTTGTTTACTCAAAGGGAAACCTCGCTGATTTCGATAGTTGTCCGCCTCAAGGATAATTGCAGCCTAACAGCCGCTAGAAGGAGCTGCGCAAAAAACATTCCTCGCTTTCTCAGTCGGCGCGAGAGCGAGACAAAAGTAGTTTGGCACCTGGCGGGCACCATACTAGATTGAAGGTGAATGGCAATGGCGCTGAGCTTGGAGCCCTTGTCGGATCGCAGCGTAAAGCTAGCGGTGCTGCTAGCCTTCGCTTCAGGAGTGCTTGTTGGGTGGCAGGCGAACAGAGCGCGGAGGTATTACCTCAACTGGCGGAAGCGACGGCTGCAGGACCAGCTGGCGACAACTCAGAAGAAGTTGGACCTCGCCTGAAGTGGTGAGGGCAGCAGCGCGAGAATGGTGGCCGGGAGGGGTCACGCTTAACGTCTGCGATCTTTTATTCGGAACGACCGTGTGCCTCTGGCCCTTTAACCCTAGGCTGGGGTAGTGAAAAGCACTGAAGATGTTATCTAGCCGGGTAATGAAAGGTTTGCAAGAAAACAGCCAAGCTCAGAGAACTCCAGGGACTCCACAGTAGTGAAGTTTCACGTGATGATTCCTGCGTTTCAAACCTGGTATAAAGAGAAATAGGCCAGGTTGCAGCTCCCAGTTGCTCAAATAGCTATCACACTTAATTTTGGCTCTGGTTTTACTTTGCCTTTTTTTTTTTTTTTAATTAACGAAGTAACTGTTTATGGCTCTTTACATCACAGTTAAGACATAAATGCTATATGTTATGATTTGTACTTTTTTCCTCGGAGAGTTTTTGTGCTTTGATACTAGTGATAAGTCCTGAGGAATTCAAGCATACCTTGCCCATTATAATTTTATGCGAAGAAGAAGACCATTTTCTGTATACGTTTTGCCTACCTGAATGCTAGTGTTCTGGGAGACCTTTGGAGGGGGGGAAGATAGTTACCCAAAGCTGCTCATTTTGCAATAATTTGACCATACCTTGATAAACTTACAGTACTTTCAGAAATTATTTTGCCATTACAACTTTGAACCTTATTTAGTGGGTTACAATTTCATACAGTTTCTTGAGAGCAACTGAAGTTGAACACATTGCAGGTCTACTTCTAATTAAACCTACATAGGAATGTATTGCTTTTATATTGAAAGTATGCTGATTTCTAAATTCAAGGACTTGTTCCAGTTTAAACGTATTATATATAGACATATTGTTGTCAGGGTTCCTGCAACATTTCAATTGACAGTTGTACCAAAGTCAACAAACTTCTCAGTGGTTGGAATTGTGGTGATTTCCTTAATGCTGTTTCCACTTACATACTAGAATCACATCCTTTGCTATATATTTTATTTTAACATGTATTCTTTTTCTGTTGTTTCATATTTTAAATTTTGAGAAAACTTTAAAAGGTATATGGAACTGATTCTCATTTTTTTTTTCACTCTGTCAACAGCTGAATACAAAGAGAAGCCTCAAAAAGAACGTGAATCAAAAGTTTTCATATTTTGATTATATTAATGGACTTCTTAAAATATTTTCATGCATAAACTTGTTTTGGAGATATTAGTGGAATTACCATTATCTCATTCCATTGGACTGATATTTATGAAAATGTTCAGCATCTGCAGAAGGAATCTATCTGTTGAAACTTATCTGTATGGACAGCTTACAGCTTGCCATTCTTTTCTTGGAAGGTTGATACTTTATGGTATTTGGTGACTGGAATTTCCTAACAAAGTTTAAATATAACAAAAATCAAATGTAATACAGTACATTCTAGCTAAGTTTTTTTTTTTTAAGTTCTTGACTTTGGCTGTGAGAATGAAGAAAACCATAGTTATATCTTAATATGTAATGCTGTACCAACGTATAAACAGTATTAAGTTGGATCCTAAATTTATTGGCCTGGTTCACACAACATGCTAAATCATAATGTGGTCTGTTGTTTGGGTTTACGATATGTGAAGTCAGCCAAATGTGGCTTATTCAATAAATCATATTTAAGCATAGAGCAATGTGTAAACTAAACCTTATATTGAATGTGCCTTTAAAGCTGAACAATTTACTTTAGTGTGATCTTTTATACGAAACAATCTGCCTGATCAACTGTATAAAGGAACAAGGGACTGGAAATGGTATTTATGTATGGGGTAGTACAGTACATGGTATATACAGGGTAGATGCAGTACATAATGAATCCGTAATTTACTACAGAGTCTTATAGACTGCTTTTCTAGTGCAGCCATGAATCAGTTTCAGTTAAAAACCATACAGTACAAGAAAAACTAATGAGAATTTCAATAAAAGCTAGGTAAAATCCAACCCCACTGAACGAGTATACCTCTACCTGGTGGTGAAAAGATAATCTAACTACTCATATATTCAGTTCAAACGTCTGTATTAGTTCTATGATGAGCACTTCATTTTGGGATGTTTGTTCTCAGGTTGAAATAATGACAAAGTAATTGTTTATTTTGCCAAGTTTGTAACAGTTACACATTCATTTTAGCTTGTTTATTGTTAGGCACCTTGAGCATTCAAATAGAAAGTTGGGATGTACATTTAGTTATTGAATATGTAACTCTGTGCTTTTTGTCCTGCCCAAGTGATTCTCTCGCAGAGTGTAAGACGTGGGGTTTCGATTAAGTACTCGGCTAGAATTCCAGAGAATCAGGTTCAAGTTTACCCTCAGGCATGAAAGTTCAAGCCCACCCTACCTTACGTGGAGGTTTGGGGACTAAATTGGAGGAGGGAGGATTTTATAGGCTGCCTATATAATTTCCCGTATTTTTGAGGTCTAATTGGGTGGGGCTGTAAGAATTGTTAAAACCGTCGAATTACGAGAAACATAGCAACGGTATTTTATCGCCTATTCCCTTTCTTACTAGAGCAGATGAAAATTGGTAGTTCCCTCAGCTCTTCCCTTTATGCGGGAACATCCCGCTCCCTCGGCTCTGCTACGTGCTGCTACGCGTAGCGCGGTTCTCTCCCAGCATTGCACAGATTGCACTTTGGGTCTTCGGAACGCCAGTTGATGACGCTGTTAGTTTAGCGCCGCAGCGTTGGTCTCCTTAGCGACCACGGTGGCCGCTCTCTCTGCGCAAGACGGTTCCAGCAGTGGTCGTAGAAATGACCGGCCGGCCGAGCCGAAGAGGCCCCCTGCAGAGCGCGTTGCGTCGGGGCCGAGAGCTGCGGGAACAGGTATCTTTTGGCGTCACCTTCCTCGGAGAGAGCAGATGGAAAAGTGGTAGAGAGAGGAAGTTGGGATTGCAGAAGACAGATTTCCAGTGCGTCGCAATGGTTGTGGCCCTCTGGAGGATGGCGGTTGATGAAAAAAACTCATTTTGTGGAACTCGTGTATGGGCTTGTTTCAGTGCAAACCTGACATGGCTACCCAAATGTGATCCCTCCGATTGTAGCTGTTCAATATGTGAATCCCTAGACAACTAGTCTGAAGTTTACGGTTGAAAACGCGTTTCCTCTAGAAAGCGTTCAGAAGACGCACGTGCAGATTTAAAGAGGGGGGCGGAGACATATATGAAGGCCTTGACCAAGTCAAAATCCATAATTTTACTTGGTTTTTAATGGTCTTTTGAGCCATTAGATTGTAATCCTAATCTGCAAATAAGCACATGGTTTTAGTGGGAGTTATTTTGTATAATAATGTTTTTAGAGACAAGCAACCCTCCTAATGAGATTCTCAACAAAACACTCAGTAACAGTGAGAAAGCATCTATGACCGTAAAATAAGCTAATAGGTTAAAGAAGTTTTCCATTTGTGCCAGAATAAACTTGTGTTCAACGGGGAAAATGAAATAAATAATTACAATTTATCTATAAATGTCAGAAAACTAGAGCAAGTAGATTAATCTGTAAGCCTTAGTAGAATGTTTACTAAATATAGAAGAATGGAGAAATGTTAAGATGTGCAAATACTGACAGAAAGGTAGCTGGTAGTCTCTTGTGAGGAATGGATGTTTGTAAAAAACTAATAGGACTGTGCTTATTTTTTACTTTAAATATATACTTCATTTTTATTTACAAAACAACACAAAGTGAATACAGCAAATAAAGGGTCCAATGTTTTGAGACGATTAGGAAAATAAGATTTGATGGTTTAGCAAAATAAGTTTGATGGCTTGCAAAGATAGAAAGGTATGGCTGATGAACATTAGATTTAGCATTTTATTTCTTTTGTTTATTATTTTATACTCCTTTCCTGAGAGGAAACACCATGATGGATATATATGTATGATGTATTATGTCAGAATAAGCATTTCTATGTAGCATATTTCTCACACACATACAGATGTCCTAGCTGAATTAGTGCAAGAGTTAAAACTGTCACTTAAAATGGAACAAGTAGGTCAGACTGATTAAAGCAGCAAGATCTTGCAGAGGGCACTGCAGTGAAAATTTATGGTTTTTTAAAAAAATCTGTTCAATTGTGTTTGATTCTTGGAGACCACCTGGACAAATTCCTGCTGATTTCTTGGCAAGGTTTTTCAGAAGTGGTTTGCCATTGCCTCCTTCCTAGGGCTGAGAGAAAGTGACTGGAAAAAACTTAAAAAGATCTTGCAGAGGGCACTGCAGTGAAAATTTATGGTTTTTTTAAAAAATCTGTTCAATTGTGTTTGATTCTTGGAGACCACCTGGACAAATTCCTGCTGATTTCTTGGCAAGGTTTTTCAGAAGTGGTTTGCCATTGCCTCCTTCCTAGGGCTGAGAGAAAGTGACTGGAAAAAACTTAAATTAAAAAATTAAAATTAAAAATTAAATTAAAATGAGAATAAAATTAAAATTCTAAGTTCTAAAAAGTACCTAGAACTTAATGCAACTTAGATAAGTGTGTATAGGTTTGTAGCCTTAGTGAATTCCCCCCCCCCCGAAGTTTCTTGTTTCTAATAAAGGGGAAGTTAAGAGTGTAATGATCTGGTGAATATTATTAAAATTGGTCAGCTGATGTGTGTACATGTGTGAATATTAGAGAGTATAGGAAAGTTGCTTTGGAGTGCTGATTTTTATTATAAATACAACATAGAGGTTTCGTATTTAAGTTTTAAATATATGAGGCTGTGCAACTGCTTTCATTCAACAAATTATAATTATAAAATATTTCAGGTGGGAACTTTGCTTCAAGAAAGCAAGGCAGTTAAGGCTCTGGATTCTGAAAAAAAGAAAAGCCTTAGTGAGAGGTAATATACATTTTAACTACAGTATACTTTTGATAGGAGCAAATGTAACATTTTATATGGCACTTCAAATGTAAACAAATTAGCAGGTAATTTAAAAATAGTTTAGACTAAAATCTTAAATAAATTTACCTGGAAGAAAATTTATCAAAAATAATGAGACTCATTTCTACGTGTGTATTTTACTTCAAAGATATATATGAGATGTGAGGAAATCATATTTGTAGAAGAGTGCTCATGAATGTAAATATTTGGGACTGCTATTCAGTGGACTATCTAGAAATGTATTCAATCTTGTGATTTTTCCCATTCATATGCATTATATTTGAATGTCACTATTCAGTATATACTATTACTTTTGAGGTGAATCGGTTCACTTTAATTGCTATGTTGATATGCCTCATTAATTTTACAAATGTTTTATATTGCTTTCACCATGAAAATGCATTCAAAGCTAATTTACAGAGTATTCAGGATTATTTGTTTATGAATTTGTATGCCAGTTACTCCAAAGATTTCAGGTGACTTATATCTCAGAATTATAAAAACCATAAAAACAAGTACCCCCCCCCCCGCCGCACAAACCTGTTAGTATTTATCTACAGTATACATTTCCAATTGTACATTTTTATTTAAGGATGGATCTGTTTCTAGATCAGATCAAAGCCAGGGCAACTACAGTATTCTTTGCAAAAATGATAGCAGCCAGGATGCACCTGGTGGACTTTGTTTCACCTTCTGTCAGCCTGAAGTAGATTTTTGTTGTGGAGATGCTGCAGGAGAATGAGCAATTGAGGCATTGTGCAATTATTCTTCAATCAGGCAAATGTAACAGGTTTAGTAGTTTTCAGCATCAATATGTGTTCTTTTTCTCTATTCACTAGGGACGTGTGCATACAAAAAAAAAAGACAGATTGCTTCATATTTTTCCTGACCATGGGAGCATGTTATTAACATACCTGCTCATTTTGGGATCAGTGTCTTGTTTATTAAATTTAAACACAGTATTATTTGTAGTATTTTGATCAGCATATTTGATGGTTGGGGTAGGCAGCATATAAAATGCAGTCTTTCTTTCTGTTATAGATGTTTGGAGCTGAAGAAGTCTGTGGATGAAAATGCCTTTGCTCTTCAGAACTTAAAGAAAGTAAATATTTAGTGCCACAGTTAATTTATTATATGTCATCAAGTCATTTTCAACTCTAGTGACCACATACATATATATATATATTCTCCATGACAATCTATCCCTAACCTGTTCTTTCTAGTCTCCCAATGGTGCACTCATCGCCACAGTAACTGAGGCCTTGCTGCTGGTCATCTTCTTCTCTTTCCTTCCACCTTTCCCAGCATTAGAACCTTCTTCAGTGAACTAGGTCTTCACAGAATGTGTCTAAAGTAAGATCATTTGAACCTGGTCATTTGTGCTTCGAGTGAGAACCCTGGGTTGGTTTGTTCAATGATCCATTTGTTTGTTTTCTTGGCTGTCCACAGTATTCTCAGGAGTCTTCTCCAACACCAAAGTTCAAAAGCGTCAATACTCTTCCTACCTTGCTTCTTCAGAGTCCAACTTTTGCTTCCATAGAGTGTTACAGGGAATACCATGGCTCCAATAGAAGAAAATATATGTAGCTCAGGGTTGAACTAGAGCCCTTGGTGCTCTCTAAGCTTGGTTGTTTGCCTGAAGACATTTCATTACCCGATTAATGTCATCAGTGCCTCAGTCGGTAATGAAATATCTGCAAGCAAACAACCAAGCTCAGAGAGCACCAAGGACTCCAATACCATGGCTTGCATGATTCAGATCTTTATAGATATAATGGCATTTGAATATCTTTTCCAGGAGGGGCACAATGCTTATCCAAAAATAAGAGAGGGAAGATTCAGAGAGATCGTTTGTTAAAGTATTGAAATTACAAGCTGTTTTTTCCAGGTTCTAGTATATAGCTTCCTGAGTTTCTGTCATTCTAAATTAAATTCATATTTTAATTATAAACAATACTAATAGTCTACATGAGAACAAGTGTGTTCTTTTTCAGCATAAAGAACCATGTGAATGTTTACATGTAATTAGCATATCTTCCTTAAATATGATTTGGAAGCCAGTAAAATGTAGCGGTTAAAATTGAGAAGATTCAGGTTTAAGTCCCCACTTGACCATGGCTCTCACATGGGTGACTTTGGTCCTTCTGTCTCACTGGATTTTTGCTGTGAGACTAAAATGAAGGGAAACCTTCATGTATATCATCTTGACCTCCCAGAGAAATGACGAATATAAATATAAACTAAGATTATATGATTTGGTAAATTTTAATATACATGTGGATTTTCTTAAAATTCTGGTGTGTTTCTATCTCACAGTCAGATGAGCCTGCACCAGTAGGAAATTATAATCAGAGAAAAGAAGAAGAAGAAAAACAGTTGTTAAAGCTTTCTCAGCAGCTTGAAAAACTTGCTGCAATTCTTAACCGGGAAAATGTAACCAAAGACTCCAGCACGTAGGTAGATTAAAAAAGAGATTTAATTTTCTTGTTATTGCCAGTTATCATTGCCTGCTTACATTTAAGCATGGGCACGTGTCAGAACCAGTATAATTATTTCTTACAAGATTGCAAGCAAATGCAGCGTGGATATCTTGTTTCCTATAATATAAAATTAAGATATTTGACAGTATAGAAATTTAAATGCATTCAAAATGCATTTTGCATACCTTTTCGATATCTGTTCCCATTTTGGGGAAGCTGCCTAAACTCATTTAGTGCCAGATGTTGTAGTTTTCAGGAATAAGGAAAATATATGCCTGCCTATTTGGGATTGTTTGGCTTCATTTATTTTATTTTCTAATAGTTCTATTATTTTTTATTTATACATATTAAACATATATATTGCATTTTTAATTGGTTATATTTTTAAATTCTATTTTAATGGTCTTGATAGTGCATTCAGTATTTTTTAAACAGAAAAGTATGATAAAAATATTTTCAGTAAATAAAACAGGAAATTAGGCAAATTATTACCTGTTTTTTCCTAAAAATCCAGAAACATTGATTGATTGATTGATTGATTGATTATTTATTTATTTATTTATTTATTTATTTATTTCCAGTATTTGTGTACTGCCAATTCAAGCTACCTCTTAAGTGTATATATGTACAAACTATGTATTAATTCAAATCAATAAGTGATTTTAAATCACTTAAAATAAGTGATTTTCAAAAGACCAGTTAATCCTGTTTTTATTTCTTTGTTATTAGGAATTTGAAAATGAAAGGCAGCCCAAAGGAACAGCAAGAAAATGAAGAGAGAGAAAATGAAGGAGGAGAAAGTAGACAAGATGATGAAGAGGAGGAAGAAGAAGAAGAGGAGCAAGATAGCGATGAGGAGGAGGAAGAGGAGGAAGAAGAGGAGGATGAAAATAAACTAGACACTTCATTTAATACAGAGTTTATCGCTCTTGGTGATTTTGCTGCACAGCAAGAAGGGGATTTGACATTTAAAGCAAGTAAAATCTGGCATTTCTTGATTCTACTAATTCCACTTATTTTGTCTTTAGTCTTTATCTTGTTCATTGTGATCTGTGCTCCATACCATTTAATGTATCATGGAGAATCAAGACCAACCCATCATTACATACATAACTTTGACCTGGGTCTAGAATATATTTTAGATTGTAGCAAAGGAGCCAAGTGCAACAACAGGTTTTTTATAGGTGTAGTGTTGTAAATCTACCAGTGTTCATTTGATTGAAGTTTTTAATGTTAAAGGAAATATTTTTTCTCAAGCTGAATGGAATATAATTATCATGTAGTGTTTTTAAGTCTTCAAATTAACTTTTTAATATTCTGTTGTTCAGAATATGCACCAAATTATTTGGCTTTCTTTTTATATGCCTCTCTCTAGCATCTTTAGTAACATTTTGCATCAGTTGGTAAAACAAGAATAGTGGTCACTTTTTGATGTTAAGCAAAAATTAAAACATACACCATATATTCAGCATTGTATCAGAGTACAGTACTCAAACACTTTCAATATTAATATACTTATTTACTTTCTCTGTTTTCAATATTGAAGAAAGAAGAAGTTCTTCTTATCATTGAGAAAAAGCCTGATGGTTGGTGGTTGGCTAAAAACTTGAAAGGAGAGAAAGGCCTGGTGCCTAAAACCTATCTTACGGTTGGTATGCTTTTCCCCTTTCTACTCAGTTTTAACTGTTTTAATAATTGTTGGTATGTGTGCTCTTTTGTAAGATGGCAGACTAGCAGCATTGCTCTATATAAAAGCAAAATTGAAATATTTTTCCATAGCTTGCTGTAAACCCTGGATTTTCTGATAGAAGTAAAGCTTGCCCATATCTGAGTTCTTACTATTGATCTTACATGCCTATACAAAAGAAAGACAGGGCCAATATCTCTGGAACCAGTCCATTTGCAAAAATTTGCCGGAAATTGTGTGGATTGTTCACCTATTGTGTTTATTCAAATATTTATAACCTGAGCACTATTCTAAGAATCTTAGGCTGGGTTAAATAAATAAACATCATCTTAACAATTCAAATTCAGCAATCACCACAATGAAGTAATAGAGGTACAGATTTTTACAAGAGATCTGTAGGGCACTGCTGGTCTGGCTGTTAAGTCTTGAATGCAGAAGGTGATGCACCTACTCCTTCAGATGCAAAAGCAATAGTGATGGTGAAGGCGAAAGACTTCTTTTGTTAGATTGTCAGGCAGCAACCAGTAACTCTATTCTGGATTTATCAGTGGGACTCTATATAACAGTTTGAAAAGTAGTGTGATGGGTTTCAGGGGTGTGGGGAATTGTGAAAAGTACCTCTTCCCACTTTGACCATTAAAAGCTTCTGCTGTGTACGATGGAGTATTATTTCTAATAAAAACGTCAGGCTTATGATAGGCTATTATTCTGCATCATGTTGTCAGGATATCTCTTCCCATTACAAAAATAAGGATGCAGTTTGGCTAATCGTTGTACTGTGTTCTTGTGGCAGGCAAAAGACAGGGAAGTAGAAGAGCCAAGTGAAGAAGAAACGGAGGATGACATTGAGGTGGCAGATGAAACAGCAGGTGGAGTCAATATTCTGAAAAGGTAGACCACAGGCTTTAATGCAGAAATACATTGTCAACTGGTATATTATTATGAGAACTTAGTTTGTAGGCAATTTTATATGTGATATGTAAGAAGCTAAAAACACATCCAAAATCATAGCTTCAGTCCTGTTTGTAAAGTTATCTATAATATGGGACCTACCATAAAAAACAATTAGCTTTTTTCTTGGTTTAAATGTATCCATGGTGGAACTTACAAAAAGAGTCTTACTGAAGATCTAACTTTGTGGAATGAACCTGTACAGGAGTAGGTCATCCTACAATGGCTCTGGGACCAAGATGTTTAAGGCTTTAACACCATATTGAGCACGTTGAATTGGGCCCAGAAAGCAATCTGTTTTGAATGCCGATTTGCTTGTCTGTATATTTCTCATAAGTATGTGATTGTAGTTTTTTTCTTGTGTTTGTGCTGTCTGCAGAACAGACTCTCACTGGAGTGCTGTCAAAAAGGCCCTCACAGAGGTATGTCTGCATTTTGCAGAGTTATGTTTATGTTTCAGTAATGATTTGAACTGTCACCTTTGTTTTGTCAAAAGATTTTGATTGAAGAACAAACATCTGACTTTATTCCTACTGTGGAATGCACAGCGAGCAAGCAGGAAATATTTATACTGCAAATAAATATTCACAGTGCAATATTTTCCATATTTACTCAGAATTACCATCTTAATTTCTAGCATGACTTTGGAATAGTATTGCTGAAGCTTTCAGCAGCAGCCTTGTTTTAAATGTTAAACTAAAATGGGATCACTTCTTGCCATAATTGCCTGGGAAAGTGAATGAAAGGATAGCAAAGCAGTCAGTATGCTGGACAAGACAAATAAGGTGGAGGAGGCAGGGTAAGCAGGAGGTTAGCACTAAGAGAAAGAAAACAGGACAGCAACTGCAGAACAGCCAGGCAGAGTGGAAGGAGCTCTCTCCCTGGAAGGCATCTTATTGAGTGTCTCTTGTCTAGCATATCCACCGTTGGGAACAGAAGTAAATTGAAAGTCAGCAAATCATGGATAGGTCTTGGCATCCTCCCTGGAACTGCAGCGGAGTGGAGTGATATCGGTTAGGGCATTGATGTAATTAGTGGCACAATATAAGGTGTGTTGCCTACTCCACATTCCACAAGCCACTGCAGTTTGTTCACCAAGTTCAAACTACATTTTTTGCTGTCTTTCCCATTCTAATGGCTTAGACAGGGCTTTTCTTAATAAAATGTCTCTGTTCTAAATGAACAGAATAATACCTTAGATGCGCTGACAACCATGGGAGCAGTGCCTGCTGGATTCCGACCTTCAACACTTGCACAGCTCTTGGATGAAGGTAGGACTTCTACAAAATTATTCCACTAAATCTAAATCTAAATCAAGTGTGATGCCTCTAAGGAGACCTGAAGCTTGATAGGACAATACTGAACTCTAATTACAGAATATCATCACAGATTGTTTGGTTTTAATGCTATTTGAAATACTACACTTATTCCCTTTTAGATTTTGGACAGCCATAGTGATAGAAACTGTTTAAGAGAATTTTAAATGCCTCCTTCCTATCAAAATAAGGGGTTTTTAAAAGTGTATGCTGAAACATATAAACTATGAATGAAACAAAAACATATTTGAAAATATATGTCATTTAGCTAAACTTGTCAAATAATTAAGATAATCAGTTCCCTCTCACAATTTGGTGCCAGACCTCAGCTACATTGATAAAAAAGCTATTATCTGTGATTCAAGGCATGCTTATTTAGTTCAGAAATTAACATAGCTTCAGATTTTGAAAGTTCTAACTATTAAACCCTATCAAAGACTAGGCACCCAGGAAACATACAGGGTGAAGGGAAAGCAACATACTTAAATGTATATATTGTTTTTCTAGGAATTCAGTTTCGGGCATCTACCTTCCTGCAGCCGGTGCTTACACCTTCCAATCTTTCTTTCCAAGATCTAATATGGAGCCCTGAAAAAGGCAGCGTAAGTATTTGTTCTTAAGAATGCCACCTAAAGGCAAGTGTCTTCAGGGTAACTGAAGATGAAGAAACTGTTGGGTGTAATGGTACAGAAGTGTGGGAAGAATATAATGAAGTATATAATGAAATTATAAGGGTAGTACTAAAGGGCTCAGATGCCTATACACGAATGTACAGGGTGTGATAACAAATAGGGAATCCTAGTACAGGGTGGCAAATATGATGTGGTTGATATTACTGAAACCTGGCAGGATGGAACTCATATTTGGAATATAGTACTGGAAGCATATAATTTATTCAAAAAACCAGACCCAACAAAAGGGAGGGTGGTGGCATATGTAAAAATGACTATGTCTGTATGGAAATTTGTGACACCAAGGATAAAAACCCTGCTGAAAGTGTCTGGGTAAATTTTAAGGAAAAAAACCCCCAATGACAGTGTTGTAGGTGTGTACTACTCTCAATCAAGCCAAAGACATAGATGAAATTTTTACAGATCAGGTGGCCATGGTATGTCTATGAAATGTAACTGTGGTAATGGAGGATTTCAACTATCCCAACATCAATTGGGAATCAAACTCTGTGGCAAATGGGATATCCAACAGGTTCTTTCAGACAACTTTATCATCCAAAGGGTGGAGGAAGGACCTAAGGGATCAACTGTACTGGATTTAATACTTATTAAAGGGGATGAAATGGTTGAGGAAGTGAAAGTTGTAAGAACCTTGGGAGAGAGTGACCATGTGATCCTACAATTCTTCATATTGCAGACAGGGAGAACTGAAGATAGTCAGATTAGCATTCTAGACTCCGAGTGAGCTAAATTTCAGTAAGGGAATAAGTAGGAATGTTTCCATGCATGGAAATCCTGAAGGAAAAACAGTTCAGGAAGGTTGGGAGACTCTGAAAAATGAGATAATTAAGGCCCAGACACAAACAATACCAGAGAGAAAGAAAAATGGGAGACAGCTGATGAACCAATGTGGTTGCATAGAGAACTCTCTGATAAACATAGATAACAAGTTTAAAAAGTAGGAAAAGGGGCATATAACAAAAGCAGAGTATAAAGAAATAATCTGAATGTAAGGATGGAGTCAGGAAGGCCAAGGCTCAGAATGAGCTAAGCTTGAAATGAATGCAAAAAATAGCAAAAGGGATTCTTTGGGTATGTGTGGAACAAGAAGAAAGGAAATGGTCAATCTTCTGGTTGGAGAAGATGACAAGATGATGATGGACAACAGAGAGAAGGCTGAACTGCTTAATTCCAATTTTGCATCTGCCTTTTTTCAAAAGAAAAAAGTGGTCCAGTCTCTCAGAAGTTGCAACCAGAAGTTGCACCATGTAGGCTAGAAGAGAAATGCAGGTCAAAATAAGTAGTGAGAGAACATCTAGCTATTTTGAATAAATTCAGGTTGTCAGGGTCAGATGAAAAATATCCCAGGGTGGTAAAGGAACTGGTGCATCGGTTCTCAAAGCCACTGATTGCAGCCTTTGAGAATTGGAGTACAGGGGAAGTGCCAGAAGTTTAGAGAAGAGCTAATGTTCCAATCTTAAAAAAGGAAAAAAATGTGAATCCAAGAAACTACAGACCAATCAGCTTGACACAACTACCTAGGAAAATGCTACAAAATATCAAGTGGTAGATTTGCATGCACTTAAGAAGGAACAAGGTGATTAGTACAAATCTTAGTCTTTTTTTTTTTTTTTTTGACAAAGCGACTAGACCAAGGGAATGCTATGGATATAGTGTATCTCCGTTTCAGTAAGGCATCTGAAGAAGTTAACCACAGTTGTCGTCTTGATATAACTGGAATGATGTGTAGTTTGTTACTGTTTATTAGATTTTTTTGCATTTTGTTTTTTCTATTTTTGTGTGTGTGTTTTGTAAAATTTTATTATAAAATGAAAGGAAAAATTCATATATACCCATGACTTTATCCTGAATCTTTGCACTTCTCCCTGTGGCCTTATCGTCTTATAAAAATTGAAAGCCAACACATCTGAAGGGCACCAGATGAAGGAAATTTGCTTCAGACATGGAGTATATTGCTTTACATTGAAATTGCAGGTAGTTTAATCTACCATCCATCTATTCTGTAAATGCAGAAATCTATTAGGATTGTATCTGCCATAGCAAGAACATGTGTTGCTTTTCATATATAATCCATATGAATAAAATAGAGAGTTAAAGTTCTGTTTCCAGGCAAAGGGGAAGCTTATCAAGAAGTAGATAAGCAGAGGGGAAAGTTGGAACAGTTTCTGAGAAAGACCAAATTGGGTTCCAGATGGAGGATATTCAGAATTGGTGACTGGTGCTTTAGAATTCTTGGCAGCCTAAAAATACTGTTATGTAGCTCTTAGGTACACTCTCTCCTCATTTAGCGACTGAAATCTGGTCCAGTGACATTGTCATTAAGTGAAATGGTCACTAAGCAAACACATGATTGAGACCAGTGCGAAGATTACTGGTTGCTGCTGTCTTATTCAGACAAAATTCTCTTGTACAGTGTCCTATGCCTGACCTGGTTTTCCCTCCCGACTTTTTTTTGCCCTCCTGCAGGGTGGAGAGATTGCTTAAACCAGCTATCTCTTCTTGAGCTGCACTTCCCTAAGAGGTAACCTACAAGCTAATAAATTCAGCTCTGAGACCTTAGTTGATTAGATCCCTCCAGCTGTCTAACCTGCTGCATGAAACTGACCAGACCTTAATCAGTTTCACACTGAAGGTTTTTGTTGTCAGGTAGCTGAAATTTGGTCATAAATGCAGGCATTGGTCAGAAAATGAATTCTTTTATTATTGTTTATTACTGTCATATTTATGAATGGTAGCTAACCGAAGTAGTTGCTAAACAAGGAGTGGCTGTATAGGAATATCCTCAAACCATGATATGTACATTTTTTAAACGCAGTAATACAGTTACTAGATATTACTATTTTTCCAATTATATACAATGATTGGCTCCGTTGTTTTATCTGTTTCAGATTCAGCCAAGGCCAACTCGGATATCACTAGTTATGACTTTATGGAACTGTAAAGGAATTCCTTTTCCTGGCATTAGCATACAGGTCCTCAGTAGACATATTCGACTCTGCCTTTTTGATGGCAATCGAGTAAGTTGCAACATGTTTTCCAGCTTTTTCTGTACATGCTGCTGTTAGAATGTCACACTGAGTAGATTTATATCTTTCCTTCTGTCAGAGTTTTGATTGATCAATTTGACACTCTTTATGTAGTTAAATATCAATCAAGTGATTCACATGACTACAAAAGTTGTTGAAAGGATCTTTCAGCACTTTATGTTAAATGGGTTCCATCGTTCTAATTCACTTGAACTGAAGGAGAAAGCTGATTTTCCAAACCAGTACTGATCTTGTGAGAAAATAATTGGAGTGTGTTCTTTATTATCATTTCATTACTTTTAGATACACTAATGAATTCAGTGGGTCTTCCCTATGCTTTATCTTATTTTAGATTCTGAGCAACATTCATACTGTGAGAGCTTCATGGCAACCAAAAAACCCCAAAACATGGACCTTTTCTCCAAGGGTAAGTATACAGTCTACTGTAGATAGATTTGATATAGTGTATTTTGCCTGCCCGTAAGACTAGGCAAGTATAGCAGTATTGTAGTTTGTATTTTATAAATATTCATATTACTGTCTGATGATAATCTCCCCCAACCTTTATCAAAATATCCATTAGGTTTTATTTCTGATTCAGAAGGTGGAAAGCTAAACCTTAAAAAAAAATCACAACTTTATTTCAATAGCCAAGGTGACTGAACCTAAACATTATAATGTAGAATACTATATGGCATTTAATTATATCATAATCTATATTACCCAAACCTTACTATGTGAGAGCTAATTAGACAAGATTTGGGATTGGTTTTTCTAATGTTTCATTCTTGAAAAATAAACAGCCATGGTCAGAGTTCAGAGTACTGGAAACTGGAAGGGTGTTCCTTTGAACAGTTTTCTTGATTAAATACCCTCCTACCCCTTATTTACCACTGGAAAAGCAGGGGCAGACACAATCTCAATGGGAGGGTGGTTTGGTTAAGGAAAACTGCTCAGGGAATTCCTCCCTTCTCTCATAGTCTTAACTGAATGTTTTTTAATTTTTTTTTTAAGGAAATGTCGTTCTCCTAATACAGCCCTCAGTAGTACAGATCATTAAACATTTATTTTATTAGAGATTTTTTAAAAAAGCAATGTTATGTTTAACCAAATATTATACACTAAAACAGGGTTGTTCAAACTGTGTTCCTTGGAACCCTATGATTCTGTGACAGCTTGATGGGGGTTCTTTGGGAGAGTTTTTTTGTTGGTCTTCAGGTCAGTCTTGACTCCTGGCAAGTGCCTAAATAATGCCATGCAGTTTTCTTGACAACATTTTCAGAAGTGGTTTGCCATTGCCTTCTTCCTAGGGCTGAGAGAGAGTGACTGGCCCAAAGGCAGGACTAGAACTCACAGTATTCTGGTTTCTAGCCTGATATCTTAAACCACTACCCTGAATTGGCTCTTTCTATGAGAGACTAAGGAGCTGCATGAAAAAAGGAGAAGAAAAAACCTTTATGATTATAATCTGCAAGCAGATAGTTCAGATAGAAATTTTCCCTTGTATTACCATTATATTTCAGTTTTCATGAAACCAATAGATATCCCATAAGTTTTGCCATCTTTTTTGAGGGATTGGATCCAGAATTCTTGTAAGGGGATGCTTCTGACTGAGAATGGGAGGAGCTGGTTTTGAGTTATTCCTCCCCCCTTTTGTTACTCTTTGTACTCTCTAAAAATATGTTCTGGAGAGTTGGGTGCCCCTTCAAAAAAGCTGCAGGGAGTGTGATGGTGATATCCTTGCAAGGGGTGGGTCAAGTATTTTCAGGCTAACTTACAGTTTCTTGGGGTATGGCTGTGTGTCTTTTTTTTTATTCAAGTATATTAAATATCTTGTGTATTTTAAACACTATTTTGTTTAAAAGAGCACTCCCCTCAAAATTAGTAGTTTACCCTTGAATGGCTCAGAGGAGCTACAAAATAGAGACTTGAGGACTGGCTGCTGAAAGCCTATCCCTGAATTGGGCAATTAGCACTATTACCTACAATTACAATATATCAAAATATGAATATCACCAGGATTTAATTTGATTGTTAGCTTCTTCAAATATTTACAGGATAGATTTATATTTTTAAGTTACTCAAAATCAAATACCGTATTTTTCCATCAATAAGACGCCCCCATGTACAAGACGACCCCCACTTTTCCGACCCAAAATTAAGAAATCAATATTTTAAAGATAGTGCAGAACACATTTTTATTTAGTAATTAGTTAACATTTACCTGATACA